TTTTGGCCGGACCTGGCATCATGCCATTACGCGCGATCGACGTTGGAATGGATGAAAGTGACCAAAAAGGTCGGCTCCACCATTGCACAAAATATAATGAAGTCTTAAAGGGTCTTAAGAGAAAGCTGCGGGCTTTCAGCGATGGAAAGGAAATTGTAATTATCCCGAAACATAATCCATATGTATTAGTTAATTCTCTGAAAGTTTCAAGAAAATCCGACTTAAAATAAAACAATTTTTGGCTAACACTTTTGTCTGGTGCAGTTTTTTCGAGTACAGGTCTTATGAAAACATTGTAGATGAAGTCATTTTAAGAAACTTTGTCCAAGACCTAAATTTTCCATCTCTCAAGTGGACGAAGTTATAGGGTGAAAATGGAGTACAAACGGAAGTACCCCCTTAAAACCGTTTTTTTACCATAACTTTTTAGTTTGAATATTACAATTTTTTTCAATGTTCTACAAAGTTGTAAGTGCTCTAAACTGCATATTTTTGCTACTAAAAACATATAGCTATCTCTTTTTTTTGAGGATTTAAGTCCCTTTTTCTAATTTTTTAACACTATGTGTAAGGGGGTGTATCTTGCAGGTTAGCAAGTATTAGCGGTTGATCTCAACGTTATTTTGTAAAGCATCTTCTACTCTACTATTACATATTCAATTTATATGGGGATCCATGGGGATGCATAATGAATTTTCTAAAAAGTTCATTCAATGTTTTGTTACGTTTTGTTGTTTTCATGACCATTTTTCCAAGAATTAAAAATTAGAGTGGGTTCCCCACTGCTTTTCCAATGCTTATTCTGGTCCCCAACAACTGGGTCAAATTTGAACGATTTTGTTGATAAGCTTTGTGATTTGCGGGAGAATTTTAAATTGTGTATGGGAAACGCAGCGATCTTATTAATTTGCTTATCAAAAATCCAAATATTGCTCAAATTTCACCAAAACTCGGACTTAGATTGAGAATATTATACCAAACAACTTTGTTGAAGCTGCAAAAATGATCATTCAAAAAGCTAAACGTAACAAACCATTGAGGTACATTATTAGTAAATTCATTTGGGCATCCCCTTGGATCCCCCAATAAATGGTGTATGTAACAGTAGGATATAAGCTGCTGAACGAAATTACGTTGAGTTTAGCTGCTAATACCTGCTAACTTACAAGATACACCCCTTTAAAGTTAGTGTTGAAAAATTATAAATACGGATGTAAATCCTTTACATCAAAAGATAGCGATTTCCTTCATTGAGCAAAAATGTGCATTTTTAGAACGCTTACAACTTTGTAGAACATTGAAAAAATTTAAAAATTCAAACTAAAAAGTTATGGTAAAAAACCGGTTTTTTAGAAGGTACTCCATTTTCACCCTATAACTTTGTCCACTTGAGAGATAGAAAATTGACGTGCCGGACAAAGTTTCTTAAAATGGCTTTATCTACAATGTTTCCATAACTGTTCATCAATTTCAACAAGACCTAAAAAAGTTTTTTTTTTATCTTAGTGTATACCATCCTTAATAAAAAATGTTCACTACTTAATTAAAGTACTCAAACGATTCGTCGCAAATAGCCATGTCGATGTCCCACTATTTTTGATTTCGTCCCCCTATGCGCCGGTGTTAGACTGGTACAGAGACAACAATGTTGTGACGGCAATCCACCGAAGTTTTGAGCCATCATGAAGGCCAGACTTCGTAAATCACCTAAGGTGTTTGGAGACCGACTGGGCGTTGAAGAAACCGTGGGTAAAAGTATCAACAGAATTCGGCCCTACCATGATATGATAGTGGTTTACCACCCATTGTAGCACGGAAACTAAGTCTGACAGCAGTGGGCCCTCTTCTCTGTTTGTCTTGATCAAGCTTAATAACCTCTGATTGTCCTCAACATGTAGCTGTATGAAGGGCCAAAAACGGATTGGGTAGATCGATAGGCAAAGTCGCCTATACGCATCTACGGAACAATAAAGAATCACCTTCCAGCAACTTGATCAGTCAATTGGTCAAAAAGACAAGCCCCCAAACAGGAAGATGCCCCAATGAGTGGGGAGAAGAGCCCGCCCTCTATCCACGAAATGTTATCAACAGGAAGTTGGCATTCCCACTCTCCCCGTCCAAATCGCTTCAATCGGATGGACCGTCCCTTCCTCAACATAATTCGGCCCTACCATTGCCCAAAACCCAAAAGGGGCCTCATAGCCTAGTCAGTAAAGACACGGTATTACCAAGCCGGAGGCGGCGGGTTCGATTCCCGGCCCGGTCGAGGAAATCTTTCGGGTTGGAAATTTTCTCGACTTCCTTGGGCATAGAGAATCATTGTGCTTGCCCCACTCAATATACAAATTCATGCATTGGTATTGGCATCGAAAGCTCTCAATTAATAACTGTGGAAGTGCAATTAGAACACTAAGAGCACGCAATAATCTAATATGCACTAAGCAATAAGCTGGAAATGCGAATAAGAAGAAGAAAATATTGCACAAAACCTTATGAGTGGTGTCAAGGGCAAGGTGCGGACATTCGGTTATGGAGCAGAGATCCAATATAGCAATTGTGTACACACAGCGTTTTTGTGTGTCTCACTTTTTTCGAGTACAGTCTTTATTCTAGACTTTAGCTAAGGACACCATAAGCAAGTCAAATGTGGTTAAATTTCTCTGTCCTAGAAAGCCGAGTTACACAGTGTTGTTAGTTGTATGCAAAACAAACTTTTGATGATTGCGTTCAGATAGTAAATCGATGTTAAGCCTTTTATTGTATTTCTAGTATCACAACACCTGCTTCAACCAAATCTGTATTCGTGTTCAGCAATTTTTTGATGAATTTGAAGTCACATTTTGGTCACTCTTTTTAGTTGATTTTGGTCACAAATCTGCTATCAGCCTTCTTTCAGGAACACTCTCCATAATTCGAACTCCTCCCTGATTTTATAATCCCTTCAAAATCATGCTAGCGATGTGGGTTTTATGATGGTTTTAAAGCATGCTTCATTTCTAAATCGTGATCTTCAAGACTATGATAACACCTGAATTGTTACTTGGGAGGTTTAACAAAAACGTAGTCTACGTAATCTTACCAACACTTTATTCGTATTTCTCTAAAATTCTTGTATTGATTTGAACCATTGTTTTTAAACCGTTCCACAAAATCAACAATGTGAATCTATATTCGTCCACCGGTCTCCATCGAGCTCGTCTATTTAGCTGGATCAATACGATAAGACAACAATCATGTGCGTATCAGCATCGTGCCCATAATTTTGTGCCGCGATAAACAGCGGTCCGTCAAATGGACGCCGCGTCATTGGAGTGCGTCACCAACCGATACAAGTCTGAGATGGCACTGAACTGGCGTCAAAAATCCGTCCCGATCATCATCACCATCGGTGTCGGTATGCTTCGTTCGTTCGACGGGATTGGCAAACCGAAATTCTCTCTAACTATTCTCTTATCAGCAGGTGCGTCTGCCATTTTTTTCCGGGGGCTATCAGGTTATCAGATTAGCCTGGAATTCTGGACAACCGGTCGGTGATGGGGGGGTTTATGTTTAACCCTAGGCTTCAACATCGCAGGCGAAAAAATCTAGGCAGGTGATGATGCAACGTTTGTTTGTTTGCCCATTTTTGGGTGAGGAATTCTCGAAACTCGATTACAATCGTTATTTTTTTTTCTCTTGTCATTGAACATCAATTATAGGTGCGGGTTCGTTCAGTATGAGCCGGCGGGGAGGGCAGCGAATTGAGGTGTTGTCGCGTTTATTAAGACAATCAAAAGCACCAAGTCTCCAAGTGGGAAAGGTCGACCTTTCGGGTTCTGGTTGCATTCTTTCCGCATGAGCTCGGCGTGCCGTGAGAATGCGAGATTCATTTAGAAAGTGCTTCTGTTTCGTGTTGGAAAGGTCAAACATTCGACGACGGTGACCCCTTTCTTCCAATTTCATCAATTGAGATCAATTGAATATGATTTACTGGAATGATTCTGCTGGTCGGTCCCGGATTCCTAATTAGCGAAGAGGTTATTCGTAAAGTTCATGTATGATGAATAAAGATGGAACATTTCTTTCCGGGATGAATGGTCACGTTTTGGTTGTTGATTTGCCGGGGGAATGCTAGTAGACATAAGAAGCAGAACCGGCATCTGGTGTTAGCAGAAATGTATCCACCTAGTAGTGGAGTTTGAGATGGATTTTGATACGATACGGTGTATTTGTAAGAATTATTTTAAAATAAAAAAAGGCATTCGTGAAACCTTCTCCTTTCGAAAGAGAGGACTTTTCCGCCATTTGAGCCTGCTGAAATTAGTTACATTAGGGACATTTGCCATACAAAATATGGGTCAATTTGAGCGTTTATTTCTTTGGGCAGGACCCTTCTTTTGAATGGACAAAGTCTCACGAATGCCAAATTGTATGTTTTAAAGTTATGCCTACAAATACACTGCGACGATTTTCCGATTGCAGTATTTTTCCCCACCGTGTTAAATCCACTACAATACCGAATCCAAGCTGAAAGACCTTAATAAAATGGGTGTTTATTAGATCACGTACTTGCCGCAGTCGGCGTCGAGTATCAATCATTCGATATTATTGTGGTAGAAGAAGGTACCTATTTCTGCTTGCTCTCTTTCCTTGTAGATGCAGCGTGCGTGCGTTTGTGTTTGTGTGACATCCCAGGATCGCCGCACGTGACCAAATCCGCGTCAACCCGCATTTTCCTGACTTCTTCAGCTGCCACACTGCTGGGATAAATCTTGCTGCCTGGGTTGGGTGTTGGGATTGAGAGTTCGGTTTATATTTATATTCAATTGAGCGGTGGGCACGTTTCCAACAGTATGCCACCACTGACTACACTGGCCCAAACTATCTCACCCCAGCCAAGCCTCTGGTAATGCGACGTGGTTGTGGTCCTTCGCCGTTGTCTGGATTTATTACCCATAGAGAAGTGCGTTTCATTGTTCAAATAGTAATTTATTTTCCATAATTTGTTTCTTCATTTTCAGATTGAAGTGTGCGAAGATAAGCAGAAGCAGAGGCAATATTTTGTTGAAATACAGTGTTTGAATTGGTCTCAGTGTAGGTGGAATTTGTCGAATCATCTGCAGTGTGTCAGCTATTTGATGAATTTAGCCGGCTTCAGTTGGAAAAGGTAAGTCATCCAATTCAATACCTTTACCAATATCTTTGCAAATTTAATGAAACTACTGAAAAATGCTACATTTTCCCCTGTTAACGTCTATGCACTGGTGAAAATTAACATAATTTAACTTTGAAAAACAAGGCTCATTTTTGTTTAGAATCCACCACATCTTCTTCAATTGGCTTTATTACGTCTTAGTGTTCTGTGAACACTTCCACCGTTGTTAATTGAGAGCAGTGCTGATAAAAATCATTTCTTCTACACTCAAATAAGCTGAAAATGAAGGCAACCTTGAAAGATAAACCAACTACCTGCATGAATTTGAATTTGGACATGATAACATGCTCTTAATCAAGGCAACCGCTGAGTTTCGAAGTCAAAAAATTGTTTTTGTTCATTCAAATATGAGTATTCATTATCAATATTCGTAATCATCTTGGTGGGGATGATTTTGAGTATCAAATACGAAATGATTGTTTTCGTTTTACACAAATATACCGTTGTGGAACGTGTTATGTTGCTTTTTCACTCAGAACCATGGAAGATGACAGCTATCCATACAAAGTAATCCGTTATAGATAACTTCGTCAAGATACATAATTTGTCAATTCATTAAAAAAAAATCACTGCATAACTGTTCAAACGACAGATTTAACGTGTGAAATGCTGTGTCTTTTGAATTCTGTAAGTGTTGCTCAACGTTTGATATGTCTAGGCATCGAATTGAAAACATTTATTCATTTAAAATATAATAATTTTTGTGAAGCCCAAGTCAAGAAATGTGGTGTTCTTATTTCAACCTCGTTTCTAGTATTATATCTATGAAAGTCACTTCCTCTTTCCATTCGATCACACAAATATCGAGGCAGCTACTTTAAAAATGAACACCATAGTCAAATATACAATTCTTTGCTTCACCGACAACCGTTGTAAGGCGTCTAGCATCAAAGTTGAGAAAGTGAATCTATTACATCTCAAAATCAAACGCATTATTTTACTCTGCAAGCGCTGTAATCTCGATATTTATGTTGCATTGGCCAGAAATAAAATGGAAGAGCAAAAGTCTAGATGAGGTGAGATGATTGAATTGTATAGATGTATTTTACTGGTAATATCGTTTTTCAGTCGACATAGAATTCTATACTTCTTGATGACATTGTCAATGTGAGAGTTAACAGAGACTTAAGTTTGTCATCAATAATCACGCCAGATATTTAATCTCCCGAACGCGATCAATAGTCTCGTCATCAATTATAACAGAGACGTTCTCTTTGAAACGATTCCGCGAAATTACCATAAATTTAGTTTTACTTGTATTCAATTTCGGCTGCTTATACTTCAACCATCTACCTAGAGAACGCAAATATTCTTTAGCTGCAATGAATAACACAGTATCATCTGCAAAAAGATTAATGTCGCAAAATCGTAAAACACGTCGCAAGTCATTAATATACATAATACATAACAGGGGCCCTAATACACTTCCCTGGGGCACTCCAAGGTTATTCCTCACGGGACTGGAAACAGATCATTAAAAACAGTCCGTTGAGTTCTGTCAGACAAATAGCTTTCAAACCATTTATATGCAGTACTCTTAATTCCGAAGCGCTTGATTGATCTTAACAATAAGGGCCTAGAAATTGTTTCAAAAGCGCGTTTAAGATCCAAAAAATTTTGCTTCGATTATATATATACGGCTTCAAAAACATACAAATTGATGCCACAAATTCGCAGCTTAAAAATATGTCTAAATAAAAAATTGATCTCTAAAACAAATATTTATATTCAAACTATTGGAAAACATTACAGCTGTAATAAGTATTTCTCATTTTTATCTAAATAGGGTGTGAAACAGAAATAAATTGAAAAATAAGATTTTTATGTTTGTTTCTGGTGGATAACATATGGCAGCCAGTCGTACCAACAGCATTCTAATTGTATACATTGCGGGTCAACATGTTCAGTACAACCATATTTATATGTATGTGCGGTTGTGTTTGCGAATGTGATTAATTTTTGGTTTCATTCTAACCGAATGAAATTAGCATGATGATGAGTACTTAAAATTCAAAATTATGTTTATAAAAAGTAATAATTAATGGGATGGTCAGTGGTCACTCTAAATAATGTACCCAGGCACTTTTTTGGCTCTCTAAAACGCTGTCCAGACTGGAGAGTTATAATATGTTATAACGGTTGTCAAATAATTGCAACACAGAAACCACCATCAAGATAGGCGCTATAACATGTTATAACTCTGTAGTCTGAACAAGGCATAAGGCTAGGTAGCGCGCTGGTCTGACAAGCTATTCTGACAAGCTGGTAGATGCCACACCCCGTCACATCAGTGGGCAACTAAAACACATCGATAGATCCATTTAATTTTAATTGTTTGTTGAACGCAAAAATGATTAAAAACTAGTTTGAAGAAGCATTTTATGCATCTATTTAAACTAAAACATATTCGTTTAGATAAAATAAATGTTATTAATTGTTATTTAAAAATCAATCAATCAATAAGCAAAAAATAAATAAAATAAAAACAAATTTAAAAAGCTTGTAAACCAATTGGAATAAATGACTTTAACTCGCAAACCCCCACTGTCTATTACTGAAAAATGCTAAAACTTTCATAATTTCGTCATTTTTTAACAAAATATTTTCATCTTTCCATTGCAATAGAATCGCAAACTTCTCAAGTTTGGATGAGCATTGCAGTATTTAAAAAATGTTTTGATTCTGAAAATATTATGAACTGAAATAGTGTAAATTTTTGACATTGGGGGTTTGAAAATCAAACGAAAATTTACCGGTTCGATTTTTTTCAGGTGCGTTTTGATTTTTCTAATAGGAAGACATCCACAAAATATGTAAGGGTTTTTGAATGATCATTCAATCCCCCTCCCGTCCTTGTAAGACTCTGTAAAATTTGCAGTTCGCAAGCCTTCCCCCTAAAGTCTTTCTAAGATCTTTAAATTTTCAGCCGATCGTTAGATATCGATTTGGGTAAACTTTTACATGCATTTGCGCATTTAATGTATTTGGAGGTGTTTTGACATTAAATCGCTTATGATAAAATTATGTTTTTCACCTACTAAATTTTATGTATGAAAATGTCAACCCTCCTCTCCCCCATTCCGTTACTAAATTTGTGGATGATCCCAAATGTTGGAAAAAAATAAATAATCCAAGAAAATCATTTTTTTTCCAAAGATTTATAGAAAATTAGCATGTAACAATACGCTCTAATTTCTCATCGAAGAAAGATGGACTCCCAACAAAAGCGAAAGGTTGATTTTCTGCGGATTTTGAGTTCATCTTTGTGCGATGATGTCTGAAAAAATCTGAAAAAACCGTCAATATTCTCTAGAAAAAAATGAGAAAACTTGAGCTGTTACGGATTCTGAATAAATATACCAGCTAACTGTTGCGTATCATCAATTTCTGGTTAATACATAAATCCTTGCTTTTTGACCCCTTGGTCGATTATAATATTACTATCCAATAATTAGTGAATGGGATCAATATTTCAACGCTTAAAGTTCATACTTCAAACTCCCAGTTTATTGCGCAAGAATTAAAGCGATTTCATTATGTCGATTACGCAAACCGTAAGACTTCTTTTCATAATCATCTAGTCATCATTCATCTTTAAAAAAATAGCTTATAATTATAAAGCAAAGATGTCTATCGAAATTTTGACAAAATACAAATCAAAGCCTTCACCTGAACAACATTACACCATAAGAAAATAGAGTCAACCAAAATGAAGAACTTAATACTGAAGTCTTTTTTTACGCGGTTTTTTTCACACCTTTTTTTTTTACACGGTTTTCCACGATTTACACGGTACGTTTTTAACGATTTCTCGACAACGATACAACCTATCGACTTGATTCCAATCACATTATCCGTTTCAAGCTATTTGTAATCGAATGGCATACTTAAAAAAAAAATCACAATTTTTGGTGTAAATACAGAAATTTTTAAAATATGTCTATATGGACCATATCATGCTTTAATTACAAATGGCATCAAAATCCGATTTTTTAAAAACATTTAAGCATGCGAAAAATCAAAATCTCGTAGGTTTTTTTTTACACGGTTTTTTTTACATGGACCGTATCCCCCGTGTAAAAAAAGACCTGAGTGTAGTTCTTTAATGTCCTGCACCGATAACACATCAAAACGCCCTCTCATAACCATTAACACGTGTAAAATTCTGAATTGATTTAATTTTTTTAATGTTTGGAATATTTGTGAACATTCTCCATTATAGCAACATAATTTTGGTCGGTAGTGTACGGTTCATCCAGATATAATCCAGCTCACTGAACTGTTGCAAACATGTTAAATAGTACGTTACAATAATGTAGCTATTTTTCAAGACATCATGAAAAGTTTACAACAAGTATGTTTTACGTTGCAGATGAGTGGATATTAAAATTAATGATTCATATTGAACTGCAAAACAACACCGCAACAAACAACACCATTACGTATTATCGATGGTATCCATGTTCCAGTTATGTTGAAAATAAGTAGCAAATGCGTAGTTTGAACAATCATAAAATTTGTTGGTATGTGCGTGCTTTAAACGTCACTTGTCAGTAGCAATGTGACATCGAGTGGTAGCGACATCGGTGCAGCTCCTCCGCCAGCAGCCATCAGGTTTCGATATTATGAGCCACTAGTTCTGGCAATCCACCTGCTTTTTGGTGCCGTTTCCAGTTCGCCAGCAGTTCCGGAATATACGAGCTCCGTCTCTAACGGAACTTCAACGGCAACAATCTCCGTTCGGCGGTATCAACATATTTGCTTCCCCCAGCTCACGCAACAACCAATCCATCGTCACTTGAGGCTTCTCACCGTTCTATTTAGCCCTTTGGAACACCCGGTCGGTTGAGAGACTACGGCCACGCCAGCCGCTGTTGGCATCGTCTTAAGTCACCATCGTCCCCCGCCATCCGTAATCCTATCATCCTCGTCGTGGTCTTCCATTTCCTATG